AATCAATAACAATGTAATTTTAAACGTTTCACTGAATCGTTCATGCACATTTTATGATGCATCAGAATTACAGACAGTAACTGATTATCAGTAAGATTGATATTACATTTTATGCTGCTGATACGGTACACCTGTGTTTCCATGAAATGCAGCGCCATTCCTGCACACTAATGATTTAATTTAGCTTAATTTTTTTTGCTTCCTCACATTGGTTTCAATAAACAGTTTGTTGGTCTAAAATTATAATTTTTTATTATTATCATTAAAGTGATAATAAGACCAACATGTGGGGAGAAAATGTTACTCTGCTAACAAGCTTAAGTGGCACTAGGCCATAGAGTATCCAAACTGTGCCCAGATATGAGAGAAGCCAAAATGGCTGTAGCTGCTCCAGGCTGAAACAGGTCAGAGTAGCTGATGAAGGGAGCACTGGCAGGCTGTGCAGGAAGGTGTGAAATGCACCTACTTTCCAAGGAAACATGAGGGCCGGCATGACCTTCTGCTCTGGGTGTAGCGTTCGACACGGATCAGTACCTACGCCGAAATAAAGTTCACACCTTCCTAACTGTTGGTTTGCATAAATGATGGGAAGTAGCATAGAAAAAACAAATGTTATTAAAGAAAGTAAGATTCAACTGTTAACTGAAATGGGCATTGTTCAGTGTGGGACCCCAGGATATGAATGGGTGGAAAAGAATGTGCTGAAAAGGAAAATTTGCTTTGAAAGCCACTGTGAAAGTAGGAAAGACGGATGTTCTTACGATGTGTTTCAGTGCCGGTCATGGTCCGAATTCTTTAATGGAGAGAGAGTTGATGGGTTTGTTTGATTTTTCTTACTTGGGGCAGCGTTACATTTTAGATCAGATGTTTTTGTTTATTGTGTGTTACACTGTTTCACTGTCCTTCATGTAGCGCCGCTTCCTAATAAGGATGCTGTCACACCGGGAAAGACATCAGAGAATGTTAGAAAGCCTGGACGGAATATTTTTCCAGATTTATTTTTTTTAAACTCCAGAACAACAACAACTCCAACAGTCTTGATCTCTCACTGTCCTGCAAAGCATGTCCACACACAAGGAAAGACTGAGCTGCTTTCTGACACACTGCCAAACTCTCGCCAAATCTTCAGTCAGCTTCAAGAACAACTTCTGGTACCCTGACTCTCTTCTGGTACCCTGACTCTTCTGGTACCCTGACTCTCTTCTTGCAGCTCACACCTGCACACACCCCTTTCCATCTCTATCCTGTCTTTCTTGCCTTTTCCACTCTCGTCTTGATTTGAGTTAGGATCTGTCTCAGTTGTACATCCTCTCCTTTTTTAGTATATGTCTCATTCACCATCCTGCTTTATTATATTAGGAACTGCCTCTCCTTCTCCACCCTCTTATATTGTCAAGGTCTGCCTCTCCTTCTCCTCCCTCTTATATTGTCAGGGTCTGTCTCTCCTTCTCCTCCCTCTTATATTGTCAGGGTCTGTCTCTCCTTCTTCTTCCTCTTATATTGTCAGGGTCTGTCTCTCCTTCTCCTCCCTCTTATATTGTCAGGGTCTGTCTCTCCTTCTCCTCCCTCTTATATTGTCAGGGTCTGTCTCTCCTTCTCCACCCTCTTATATTGTCAGGGTCTGTCTCTCCTTCTCCTCCCTCTTATATTGTCAGGGTCT